TCTTTACTTTCAGGTACTTGGTCTGTCAAGGGTCCCCCGAAGCAAGGTCTAGGTCACCCCGAGGACTTCTGTCTCATAGTCTCAAACCTCTTCAGATGTTAATTGGGGGAACTAACTTAACTAATTTACTTTGCTTAGCATTTATACCTTTTGTTTTCAAAGGAGTCACGAGTCCAGATATATGCCCTGTGGGTATTCATCACTGTTTTTTTTAATTAATATTTTGGAAGGAGGGGGCTGCAAAACAGACACAGACCAAAGCTCAATCATCATTTACTCTCTCATCAATCATTCACCTAAGCTTTTAGTATGATGCCATCCCACGATATTACGTTTTCTTTATTTTGTGAGCTGGTGCCCTGCTGATATATTCCAAAGTTCAATGTTGAAACATAAATGCAGATCAAGCCGCTATTAGCACCTCCAGTAGCTTTCCACATTATTTATCTAGTGCTAAGAGAATCCTGCTCCCAGAATCCTCTAGCAAGTTCAGACATACCAAGCCATACCAAACTCATGCTTGCCATATTTATTCATATCAGTCACAGCAATTCATAATACTTTGGCACTGGCCCAACACAGGTCACAGTTGGAGACAGATGCTGGAGAAGATGGACCATAGTCTGACCCAGTATGGCAGTTCTTCTGGTTTAATTATTAAGGGTAGGCCTTGCTTCATAGACTCAAACATTAAGGCCAGAAGGGACAATCATGATATATCGTCTGACCTGTTGCAGGCCACAGAACCTCACCCTTCCACTCCTGTAATAGGCCCATAATCTCTGAGTTACTGAAGTCCTCAAATCTTGATTTAAAGACTTCATGTTACAGAAAATCCACCATTTACTCTAGTTCAAACCAGCAAGTGACCCAGACGCCACACTGCAGAGGAAGGTGAAAGCCCTTTAAGGTCTCTGCCAATCTGACCTGGAGGAGAAATTCTTCCTAATCCCAAATATGGCAGTCAGTTAGACCCTGAGCATATGGGTGAGACCCACCAGCCAGACACCTGGGAAAGAATTCTCTGTAGTAACTCAGAGCTCTCCCCATCTAGTGCCCCATACTACAGCCTTTATTAATATGTTTGCTGATTTATCGTTTCTGACTTCAAATTATTTACCAGCAATAGAAGCAAAATAGCAGCCCTGTTTTTGTAGGGTAGGGACAAAATTGGATCTAAAGGGAAAGGGATCCCTTTAAGGAAAGTAATCTGTCAAAAGAAAGCAGTACTTTATACTGGCTCGTTCACTATGGAATATTTCAGTCACCATATTTTAGTGAGTATTCAAAGCACTGAGTATCCACTTCTAAATCAGATGTGTCAACTTCAAAGTTCACAGATTTCAGGTCTTATTACATTGTTTCTCAGTCCATGAAATTGTAATGTGGTCTTGTCACCTCCATTTGTCTCTTTAAAAAAAAAACACCTTAATATCTTAGTGTGGTGTTAGCTGACAAGCTGACTCAGTGCCTGTCAAAGTAATTAAGAACTATTTGCTCTCTAGCATTCATGGTTAAACAGGAAGCTTTACACTTGAATTGTTTCATCTGCTTTAAATCCCTCTAAGAGGAATAACTTAGCTGGATGTAGAATACTAAAAGCTCTGGTAAGAGATCTCACTGGTTCACATCTAGTAGCAAGTTTTTTTGGACATAACAAAGCCTGCATCTTGGCAGGGCAGTGAGACTAGATGACCCTTACAGTCCCTTATAACCCTATGATTCTAAGTAAAGTAATTATCTGACAGCAGTTTAGTGGGCTAAATTAATGATGATGGAACCTGAATCAATAGAAAAGCTGGAATCCCTTCTCTCCAAGCACTGTTAAGAGGGCAACAACATTCCTCTCTTCCTTCTGCAGGCTATGCAGGCCTGACCCCACCCTTCCAATTAGTACTTCTTGGCCTTTCCCCTGACCCCATCCTTCAAGCTACCAGGGGGAAGATGGAGAAAGCTGACTGGCTTCTCTAGTTTATTTGTTACCAGGGAGAAGGAGGAAAATTAATCTGACAGAGGGTGCTCAGGGGCAGTCCTTTTGATGTCAAAGTGATTCTCCACTCCCTCAAAGCTCTAATCTTCGTGTAAGGCATACACAAAAGGCAATGCAGTTATACTGATAACTGAAACTTTCACAGTGGGTGAACTTTTTGGACACTCCCCACTGTGGTCCCAAAGATGGTGATTCCTAGACTCTCGTGACCCTTGCTGGCTGGGGTTGTTGTGGATAGGGTCAGGCACTATAGTTTGAACCTTGTTCTGTACAGAGCCCTGAGTCTGTCTCTGCTCTGCATCACAGGTGTGTACTACCTGTGGCAATAAAGAATCCCATGCCTTTAAAGAACAATCTGAGTTTGAAGTGTATTGCAGTGGTAGGTGAGGAGTTCTTTTCCTGTGGAACTTGTGAACTCCACCAGATTGGCAGCTCACAGGACACAGATTATAAATGTTTGGGGATTGAAATCCTCAGCAGATAGGGACCTGATGAGCTTTGGGGTGTGTGACACTACATCCCATATTCTTCATAGAGATATTATGATATGATATGGCATAACTATAATGTATTTTATGCAAGATGGGTCATGTGAGACCATTGGATAGGTTATGATTTATTGGATAATTATCCAATTTGTATGCATGTATCATTTTTGTATCTGAAGCTAGGAATATTGACTATGTATCTGTATTAAAATGTGTTTACACTTGGGGAACGCCCACTAGGCACAAGACAGTCAGTCTAGATGGCTGGCTGGGAAGGGCCCATTCAGGTTGATAAGCCATTAGGAGAAAACAATAGACTTTAGAAGAAGCTAATCTCCACCAGGAAGCCTTCCTGAGAATGCTGTAAACAGCCTCTGACTCATGGCTGCCATGGCACTACAGGGACATGTAACCAGGTCATCTGGTACTGGACTCCATCTTGGACTCCATCTTGCCATATGCAAAAGCTATTTAATGCAGCGGAATGACATCATCGTGGTTCTTCACTGACTCCCCACCCCAAAGAGACTCTTGGAAACACCTGAGGAACAAGGACTGAACTGTGGGGGGAGGGAAGTGCTGGACCAAGGCTAAAGGGATTTTTAGCCTGTGAAAGGAACACCTAGGGTTTTTAAACTGTAGGTTAGTGCAGCTGGCTCCTTAAGAATCTCTGCAGCCTTCTTGAATCATCATTTTAGAGTGAGAATTTCCTACTCATATCCAATCTCAGGCTTAGTATATTAAGCTTAGTTTGCATGTTTTGTTTGCTAGGTAATCTGTTTTGATCTGTTTGCTATCCTTTATAATCACTTAAAATCTATCTTTTGTAGTTAAACTTATTTTTGCTTTGTCTAAAACCAGTGTGTGGGTGTCATAACTTGGGGCAGAAAGCTGTTCAATGTCCTTCTCCATATTGAGGGAGGGAGCAACTTTCATGAGCTTACACTGTACAGATCTCTGTGCAGCACAAGATGGTATAATTTGAGGCTTAAATTCCAGAGGAGGATGTGCACTTGAGTAGCTGGGCAGTTCCTTAGCTGTAGCCTCCCCATGCAGAGCTGATCACAGCATCTGTCTGTGCTGCAGCTTGGTGTGTCCTTACCTATATGTGTGCTGGAGCCTGGGAGACGGCTTGGCAGACTGGTCACACCAGTACAATGTAAAGGGAACCTAGGTTGGTGGGTTGAGGGGGTCAGTGGGATCTCAGTTCCAGGTGGCATCCTTGGGGGAACCCATCCCAAGGTGTTTTTAAGACAGGGGTATTTAGTAGGAGGGGGAGTAAAAGCTTATGATCACAAGAAATTAAAACATGGCAATGCACTGACAATTCCAATATTGATGTATCATGGGGGAGGAAATTGCCTTACTTCCACCCCTCTCAGAATAGTTCTTGACTCAAGATTGTGCTCATTTTCCAAACAAAGATTTGTTCCCTTGAAAACAAACAAAACCCCACCCAGGAGTTCCTGGGGGCTTCCTCCTCTCTCTGCTCTTCTGTAGTAGTATTGAGCTATATGCTCCTGGAGCAGCCAGCTAGCCAGCTCTTTTTCTCCTCTCTGGATCCTGCACTCTCCAGAAGCTACAGTGTCCTAAACCAGATCACAGGACATGCCTATCATCCCAGAAATGCAGGCTATCCCATTTTTTATGGGACATCTTACACTGCCTTCAGCTCCAGGTTCCCCTCTTTCTTCCTCAGCAGTGGAAATGCTGATGGCTTGGGAAGGAGGAGTAAGAAATCAGAAGAGCCTAGAAGGATGGGGCCCCAGCAGCCCTAAAACATTATTATTGAAATGAGTTTTCTCTCTCTGGGAGATGAGGGCCAGGTTCCTCTGTGTACTTTATTTTGTCTCCTACTCTCTGCCCTTAATGTCCGATCTGTGGATGCCTTTAAGTTGCCTGAAGGTATAAAACCATTGAGAGGACTGAGGAGAAGGGGAAAAACAAAACAAAGTATAACTGAGGGGAAAGGAGAACTAACAATCCTCCTCCAATCCTCTAGTAGCTTTTGGAGTGGTAAAGAGATGGAGTTTTCCCACCCCTCTCCTCCTCCCTGCTCAATGCTTTCTCACAAAATAGGTGGCTTTTGCCAGTAGGAAAACAGTTGCTTCTGTGGAGACGGCTCCCTCCAAAACTGGGCAACATTGCTGCTAGGTTTGTTGGGGACAGAATCTTACATTGTTTGACTGAGCCTGACCTCGAGTGAAAGTACAGTACTCAGAGCGACTGCCAGGTAGGCAGACACCAGCCTCTGACACTGCCCATCCCAGATGGCATATTGCCACTTGTCTTTAGGCTGCCAATTTGTCTCTCATTTATACAGAAATTGACTGTTGAAAGTGTGTAGTTGAATACATTCATGAGATAAAAGCCCTATACAAAAGTAATTAATTCAAAGACAAAAAAAAGCCACATAGCTGCATTTAGCTGGTGAGAGGGAGAGGACCCAGAGTAGCTGCCTGAAGGACTGTTGTCGTTCCACAAAAGGACGTTTGCAGAGTGCACTCTGCCCTGGTCTACACTAGGACTTTAGGTCGAATTTAGCAGCGTTAAATCGATTTAAACCTGCACCCGTCCACACAATGAAGCCCTTTATTTCGACTTAAAGGGCTCTTAAAATCGATTTCCTTACTCCACCCCTGACAAGTGGATTAGCGCTTAAATCGACGTTGCCGGCTCGAATTTGGGGTACTGTGGACACAATTCGATGGTATTGGCCTCCGGGAGCTATCCCAGAGTGCTCCATTCTGACCGCTCTGGACAGCGCTCTCAACTCAGATGCACTGGCCAGGTAGACAGGAAAAGAACCGCGAACTTTTGAATCTCATTTCCGGTTTGGCCAGCGTGGCAAGCTGCAGGTGACCATGCAGAGCTCATCAGCAGAGGTGACCATGATGGAGTCCCAGAATCGCAAAAGAGCTCCAGCATGGACTGAACGGGAGGTACGGGATCTGATCGCTGTTTGGGGAGAGGAATCCGTGCTATCAGAACTCCGTTCCAGTTTTCAAAATGCCAAAACCTTTCTGAAAATCTCCCAGGGCATGAAGGACAGAGGCCATAACAGGGACCCGAAGCAGTGCCGCGTGAAACTGAAGGAGCTGAGGCAAGCCTACCAGAAAACCAGAGAGGCGAACAGCCGCTCTGGGTCAGAGCCCCAAACATGCCGCTTCTATGATGAGCTGCATGCCATTTTAGGGGGTTCAGCCACCACTACCCCAGCCGTGTTGTTTGACTCCTTCAATGGAGATGGAGGCAATACAGAAGTAGGTTTTGGGGACGAAGAAGATGATGAGGAGGAGGTTGTAGATAGCTCACAGCAAGCAAGCGGAGAAACCGGTTTTCCCGACAGCCAGGAACTGTTTCTCACCCTAGACCTGGAGCCAGTACCCCCGAACCCACCCAAGGCTGCCTCCTGGACTCAGCAGGCGGAGAAGGGACCTCTGGTGAGTGTACCTTTTAAAATGCTATACATGGTTTAAAAGCAAGCATGTGAAAGGATTACTTTGCCCTGGCATTTGCGGTTCTGCCTTTGCAAAAGGTTTCTGGGGAGGGCAGCCTTATTTCGTCCTTCATGGTAGGACACTTTACCACTCCAGGCCAGCAACACGTACTGGGGAATCACTGTAGAACAAAGCATTGCAGTGTATGTTTGCTGGCATTCAACCAAAATCACGCGGTGGGAGGAGGCAAAATGCGACCTTGTAACGAAAGCACATGTGCTATGTATGTAATGTTAACAGCAACACGTACTGGGGAATCACTGTAGAACAAAGCATTGCAGTGTATGTTTGCTGGCATTCAACCAAAATCACGCGGTGGGAGGAGGCAAAATGCGACCTTGTAACGAAAGCACATGTGCTATGTATGTAATGTTAACAGCAAGGTTTACCCTGAAAGAGTGTAGCCACTGTTTTATAAAATGTGTCTTTTTAAATACCGCTGTCCCTTTTTTTTTTCTCCACCAGCTGCATGTGTTTCAATGATCACAGGATCTTCTCCTTCCCAGAGGCTAGTGAAGCTTAGAAAGAAAAAAAAAACGCACTCGCGATGAAATGTTCTCCGAGCTCATGCTGTCCTCCCACACTGACAGAGCACAGACGAATGCGTGGAGGCAAATAATGTCAGAGTGCAGGAAAGCACAAAATGACCGGGAGGAGAGGTGGAGGGCTGAAGAGAGTAAGTGGCGGGCTGAAGAGAGTAAGTGGCGGGCTGAAGACAGGGCTGAAGCTCAAAGGTGGCGGCAGCGTGATGAGAGGAGGCAGGATTCAATGCTGAGGCTGCTGCAGGACCAAACCAGTATGCTCCAGTGTATGGTTGAGCTGCAGCAAAGGCAGCTGGAGCACAGACTGCCACTGCAGCCCCTCTGTAACCAACCGCCCTCCTCCCCAAGTTCCATAGCCTCCACACCCAGACGCCCAAGAACGCGGTGGGGAGGCCTCCGGCCAACCAGCCACTCCCCCACAGAGGATTGCCCAAAAAAAAGAAGGCTGTCATTCAATAAATTTTAAAGTTGTAAACTTTTAAAGTGCTGTGCTTAAAGTGCTGTGTGGCATTTTCCTTCCCTCCTCCACCACCCCTCCTGGGATACCTTGGTAGTCATCCCCCTATTTGTGTGATGAATGAATAACGAATGCATGACTGTGAAGCAGCAATGACTTTATTGGCTCTGCAAGCAATGATTAAAGGGAGGAGGGGAGGGTGGTTAGCTTACAGGGAAGTAGAGTGAACCAAGGGGCGGGGGGTTTCATCAGGGAGAAACAAACAGAACTTTCACACCGTAGCCTGGCCAGTCATGAAACTGTTTTTCAAAGCTTCTCTGATGCGTACCGCGCCCTCCTGTGCTCTTCTAACCGCCCTGGTGTCTGGCTGCGCGTAACCAGCAGCCAGGCGATTTGCCTCAACCTCCCACCCCGCCATAAACGTCTCCCCCTTACTCTCACAGATATTGTGGAGCACACAGCAAGCAGTAATAACAGTGGGAATATTGGTTTCGCTGAGGTCTAAGCGAGTCAATAAACTGCGCCAGCGCGCCTTTAAACGTCCAAATGCACATTCTACCACCATTCTGCACTTGCTCAGCCTGTAGTTGAACAGCTCCTGACCACTGTCCAGGCTGCCTGTGTACGGCTTCATGAGCCATGGCATTAAGGGGTAGGCTGGGTCCCCAAGGATACATATAGGCATTTCAACATCCCCAACAGTTATTTTCTGGTCTGGGAATAAAGTCCCTTCCTGCAGCTTTTGAAACAGACCAGAGTTCCTGAAGATGCGAGCATCATGCACCTTTCCCGGCCATCCCACGTTGATGTTGGTGAAACGTCCCTTGTGATCCACCAGAGCTTGCAGCACTATCGAAAAGTACCCCTTGCGGTTTATGTACTCGGCGGCTTGGTGCTCCGGTGCCAAGATAGGGATATGGGTTCCATCTATAGCCCCACCACAGTTAGGGAATCCCATTGCAGCAAAGCCATCCACTATGACCTGCACATTTCCCAGGGTCACTACCCTTGATATCAGCAGATCTTTGATTGCGTGGGCTACTTGCATCACAGCAGCCCCCACAGTAGATTTGCCCACTCCAAATTGATTCCCAACTGACCGGTAGCTGTCTGGCGTTGCAAGCTTCCACAGGGCTATCGCCACTCGCTTCTCAACTGTGAGGGCTGCTCTCATCTTGGTATTCATGCGCTTCAGGACAGGGGAAAGCAAGTCACAAAGTTCCATGAAAGTGCCCTTACGCATGCGAAAGTTTCGTAGCCACTGGGAATCGTCCCAGACCTGCAACACTATGCGGTCCCACCAGTCTGTGCTTGTTTCCCGAGCCCAGAATCGGCATTCCACAGCATGAACCTGCCCCATTAGCACCATGATGCATGCATTGTCAGGGCCCATGCTTTCAGAGAAATCTGTGTCCATGTCCTGATCACTCACGGGACCGCGCTGACGTCGCCTCCTCGCCCGGTATCGCGTTGCCATGTTCTGGTGCTGCATATACTGCTGAATAATGCGTGTGGTGGTTAATGTGCTCCTAATTGCCAAAGTGAGCTGAGCGGGCTCCATGCTTGCCGTGGTATGGCGTCCGCACAGAAAAAAGGCGCGGAACGATTGTCTGCCGTTGCTCTGACGGAGGGAGGGGCGACTGACGACACGGCTTACAGGGTTGGCTTCAGGGAGCTAAAATCAACAAAGGGGGTGCCTGTACATCAAGGAGTATTTCAGGCAGGACTGCACGGAGGGTTCCAATAAGAAATGGTGCACCTAAGTTATCGTTGTTATTGGAACAAGGAGGTTAGCCTGGCCTCTGATTGATACATGGCTAGATTTACCTCGCTGCACCTTCTCTGTGAGTGACTGCAGTGTGACCTAGAGGAATGAGTCCCCTAGACAGGGGAGGAGGCAAATGAGTACAAAACAAATCTGGTCTATTTCTTGTTTTGACCCACTCCATCTATCTTTTACATCTTTGGCTGGCAGCAGACGGTGCAGAAGGACTGCATGCCATCCACATCTCATGGCTGCTCGGCAGAAGATGGTACAGTACGACTGCTAGCCATCCCCATCTCTTGCCTGCCTGGCAGAAGATGGTGCAATACGACTGCTAGCAATCCTCATCTCTTGCCTGCCTGGCAGAAGATGGTACAGTACGACTGCTAGCAGTCCGTATCGCCTGCCTGCTCACCATAAGACGGTTCAATAGGACTGACTGCAGGACTAAAGAGAATGACCTGGTCAAGTCACTCCAAATTTAGTCCCTGCGCCCATGTCTGCCCAGGCGCTCCCAGCCGACGCGGCCAGGAGCACCTCGGACACGATGAGGACGACTACCAGTCGTATTGCACCGTCTGCTGCCAGAAGGCAAGGGGTTGCTGCTACTGTGCAGCAAAGCCGTACCGCGTCTGCCAGCACCCAGGAGACATAGGGTGACGGTTACCTGAGCGGGCTCCATGCTTGCTGTGGTATGGCGTCTGCACAGGTAACTCAGGAAAAAAGGCGCGAAATGATTGTCTGCCCTTGCTTTCACGGAGGGAGGGAGGGAACGGGGGCCTGACGACACGTACCCAGAACCACCCGCGACAATGTTTTAGCCCCATCAGAGCGCTCCATTGTGACTGCTCTGGACAGCACTCTCAGATGCCCGATTGTTTGCCATTGCTCTGACGCTGGGAGGGGCGCTTACAGGGTTGGCTTCAGGGAGCTAAAATCAACAAAGGGGGTGGCTTTACATCAAGGAGTATTTCAGGCAGGACTTCACGGAGGGTTCCAATAAGAAATGGTGCACCTAAGTTATTGTTCTTATTGGAACAAGAAGGTTAGCCTGGCCTCTGATTGATACATGGCTAGATTTACCTCGCTGCACCTTCTCTGTAAGTGACTGCAGTGTGATCTAGAAGAATGAGTCCCCTAAGACAGGGGAGGGGGGAAGCAAATGAGTACAAAACAAATCTGGTCTATTTCTTGTTTTGACCCACTCCATCTATCTTTTACATCTTTGGCTGGCAGCAGACGGTGCAGAAGGACTGCATGCCATCCACATCTCATGACTGCTCGGCAGAAGATGGTACAGTACGACTGCTAGCAGTCCGTATCGCCTGCCCGCTCACCATAAGACGGTTCAATAGGACTGACTGCAGGACTAAAGAGAATGACCTGGTCAAGTCACTCCAAATTTAGTCCCTGTGCCCATGTCTGCCCAGGCGCTCCTGATCGACCTCACAGAGGCGACCAGGAGCACCTCAGACATGACGATGACGGCTACCAGTCGTACTGTACCGTCTGCTGCCACAAGGCAAGGGGTTGCTGCTACTGTGTAGCAATGCCGTACCGCGTCTGCCAGCACCCAGGAGACATAGGGTGACGGTTACCTGAGCGGGCTCCATGCTTGCCATGGTATGGCGTCTGCACAGGTAACTCAGGAAAAAAGGCGCGAAATGATTGTCTGCCCTTGCTTTCACGGGGGGAGGGAGGGAACGGGAGGCTGACGATATGTACCCAGAACCACCCGCGACAATGTTTTAGCCCCATCAGGCATTGGGATCTCAACCCAGAATTCCAATGGGCAGCGGAGACTGCGGGAACTGTGGGATAGCTACCCACAGTGCAACGCTCCGGAAGTCGACGCTTGCCTCGGTACTGTGGAAGCGCTCCGCCGAGTTAATGCACTTAATGCACTTAGAGCATTTTCTGTGGGGACACACACACTCAAATTTATAAAACCGATTTCTAAAAAACCGACTTCTATAAATTCGACCTTATTCCGTAGTGTAGACATACCCTCTGTCATAGCTCTTTATAGCATAGCATGGCATGTTACTGCAGGCCCAACCTCAGATTCTATCCTAGGTAGTAATCAACTCTCACAGCTTTCAGAGTGTTCAGTTGCTGAGGTGACTTAGCCCTCCAGCTGAATCAGAGACTTTAAGGCTAGAAGGGACCACCAGATCATCTAGTCTGACCTCCTGTACATCACAGGCCACCAACACCACCCAGCACCCGCACACTGACCCAACAACCAAAATTAGAGTAAAGTGTTACAGCCCACTGGAGCTTAGACTGTGCCACGGGCAAAGAATAGGTGGGACTGAGGTGCACCTGTGCTTGAGGCCCCTGCTGTGAGGCTTAGGCCAACTCTAAGCCTATATATCTCCAGAGAGTCTGTCAGGCTTAATTATTTTGTTAAAATTGCAGTAAATATATACTTTGGACTTTCCTAAATACTGGGGAATGGACAACTAATCCTCATGTGCTAATCTCTGTAGTTCTCATGCTAAGAGTAATATGTGGACATGACTGGGGCAGACCACTTGATAACCAGAGCCATTAATTACTGAGTTTTGGCTATAGCAAGGGCTACCCCTCTTAGGGGAAAGTGGTCAATTGATACCCATTTAAAAAGCCATTTGTCCAGAAGAGGCTCCTCAATTCTCAATACAGTAGGTAAAACCAATTTATGGGACAAGGGGAAACTCCCATCCAGAGATGAGTCACGCAGGAGGACATCACCGAAGAATTACCTCGTGGACTCCCCCACCATCACCTTTTGCATCTGTGAGCCCTGGAGTCAGAACTGTCACATGGCAGGTTTTCAGATAAAAGCTGACTAGTAGGAGGAAACAGGGTTCTTTTTACCAGCCTGGATCCTAAGAGGCAAGGATTTTGTCTGCCAGATAAAGGACCTCGAGCTGCCACAGCTGGGATAAACCTCAGAAGCTGAATCTATAAGACCTTGAACAGAAGTTTTTTTTTTATAAAATAACCAAATTATGTATTTGTCTGTCTTTAATATTCTTAGCATTGTTCAAACATCTCTTGCTTCATTTTCACTTAATAAATCCTAAATACGTTTATTATAGGATTGGACTGAGCGTCACCTTGTTGGATGAAGGAGGGAGATCTAAGGAACTGACCTGTGGTTTGTGTCTGGTCCTATAGGAACTGAGAAACTTGGATTTTCTTGATATTATGGTGAAAGGGGGAGCCTAATATCACAGGGGTCTGTCACTTAGTGTCAAAAGGCACTGGGGTTCCCCAAAGGGACTGTTTAAATTCTACATTAAGGCTG